TCTGCTTCCAATCCCTCTAAATTCAATGTGAGGTTGAGTCTTATCTACCCTGAGGATATGATTATTTTTCAGTGGGAGGGGCTGAGAGGAACTGCAGATTTGGAAGTGTGCGCTGTTTGGCAAGATCAGGCCATGTCTGTTTAGTGAATCTGCCCCCTCCCCTTTCTGCTGGCCCCCAATGGCTTCCCTGCCCCCTAAAAGGAACAAAGAACCTAAGTTTTTATATGTTCCAAACTTTGATGGGAGCTCTTTTCTAGCTACATCTAAATATTTTCATTTGCATATGTCTTTCTTCATGTGGATTGCTTTTGGCACAGTGGCAATTAGTTATGCTAGATTGTCCGGGTTGACTAACTACTGATAGTCTGACAAGCTCCACAGGGAAGGTTGCATAACCCCTGTGTAAGTTAGGATCCAAGTCGCTGGCTTCGGCGCCTCGCGATACCAAAACATGGCATGTGCTGCATCATTTTCAGCCCTGGCAGTGGCTCACTGTCAGCTGCACCCCCAAATTGGTCACAGCTGAGAGAATGGCATTCACAGCATGTCTAGCAGAGGTACCTCTCACTGAGGTAGCAGGGAAGTATGAGGATGCTCATGAAGAGAGGGGTGCTATATTAGTGGTAAAGTGAAGCCACTACTGGATGAAGTCCTGCAAAACAGCAGTGAAAATGGTCCAAAGGAAGGAGAGACAGCTCTGCCCTCTGAAATACTCAGATATAGGTAAGGTCCAAGAGGCTTTAGGGAGTTAATTGGAAAACAATTGCACTTATCTGGTTCCTGCCCATCTGTTCTATTGACAGTGCAGAGTAATTATAGACACTGTAGACACATTGTGGCATTAAGAGTTTGAAATTATACTGCTGACCAACACTTCCTGGTGTCACCCTCCAGGAAGGGCTGGAGAGCTGATCCAAGTCAGTAGGGAACACTGTGGGGGCATGCTAATGTGCATGGTAATGTGGTTTGCAGAAGTTTCCCACATTGGGCTGTTCTCTTTCCCAAGAGAATTTAACTCCGGCTACGAAAAGGAAAAGAGTTAAGAGTTGATACTCATTTGATTTCTGTTGAATATTTAGCATGTTATCCACATAGCTGTCTAAGAAGAGTAAGGTGGCATATTTTATTTGAAGATTTTATTTTATTTTTATAGAGTTTGCTTCATAGGAGCCAAAAGCAGGGTCAGCATAGTAGATTAGAATCAATTCAGCAGAGGGAAAATAAACCTTTGGAATATATTTTGCCTTCCCCGAGCACGTAGCAGGCATTAGCAATAATAGAAGCCCTGTCTGTGCATGGAGAGGAAACATCTACCACCCAGGTTCCCAACCATCCTCATCCTTGGCTGTGCAGTACCATGACCTTCGCAGTGGGTATGATGATTCTAGATTTACCATCTCCTAACTTTGTACTGTGATGCACATGACAAAAACACACAAAAACCAAGCATTATTTCCTTATGGAAGACAGCAGGAAGAGATGGGGAAAAGAGGTCTACTATCCAGGAATTGCTGAAACGTGGCCAACACGTTTGGCCACCTTGGTGACTGCTTTTCTGGGCATGGATGTGAATGAACTCTTCCTGTTTGCCGTTTCTGTGGCTGTGCCATCTTTGCTAGGCTACCATTGCCCACTTTGCTAGTCTTCTCCAACTCCAGGGAGTACTCAAGTGGCAAAGGGGAAGTTCCAGGCCTTCTTTTAGCTTCTTTCAGTCCATTTTGTGTGAGCAAAAGCACAACTTCTTAGACAAACACAGACGCATCAGGGAAAAATTAAGCCAGTCCATTGAAAGAACACTGGGTTTGCTATCCAAAATGGTTCTCTCACGGGTTTTATGCATGTAGGTGCTTGGACACATTTCATTCCTTAATCTTGAGGATGAATGAGGTACTATAGGAGAAATAGTAAAGCAAACCCTCCCCTGCTCTCACCACTATAAATCACCATTAAATTCACCATCTGACATCCCTAGCTTTATTGTGCTTTCTCTTTTAAGAAAAGTCCCAGACAACATTGGTTAGTTTTACTATATCCTGCAGGGCCATTTGTACTTTTCACCTATTCTTCCCAGTGGCCTCACTGGACTGGGAGCAAGACCACCACATAGCAGTGTAACCTTGAGCAAGTTACCTTTGCATGTCTCACTTCTCTGAATCAGTGTGTGAAGAATCTCCAAATTCCTCCCCTGCTCTGATTCTCCAAGAACTCTGTTGACATGTTTTCTTCCACACAAAGTGCATTGAGACAACTGCAAATAATGCCTGCAATCTGGGAAGTCATTTTAAAGGAAATTGTTCATTTCAGCTCCGTGATTTCCCAGCTCCTGGTGTAGCGCTGTAGGATAAGCACTAGACCACAAGGTCAGTTTGAACCGCAAGATTGTCGGCAGTCCAAACTCAACAGCCGCTCCTCAGAAATCCTGTAGAGGGTTGTTGAGTCAGAACCAAGTTGAAGGCACTTAACAACAACAAAGACTGAAACAGAAAGATTGAGACTTGACACTAGTTTTTAAGCCTTTAACAAGTCTGGGGAGCTGACCAGAGTGCTGAACTCAGCCACTCTTCACAACAGCCCTCATAGATTGCTCACTCTTAAAAGCTCAAACACACACAGAGCCTACACCATGCGATCAGCAGTAGTACCCCCCAGGACAGAGGCAGAGGAGAATGTTCTCAGTAAGCTGCAGACCTAGGGTATCAGGAGTGTAAACAGCTAGTGGAATTTCAGAGCACACTGCATGAGAAAGTTCCCAGACCTGTTGGAGCTATATTTAGCATAGGAGAGTTCGGGAATAGCTTTGGGTGAGTACACTGTCATTCAAATGAATATTAATAGTACCGAGTCTTGGAGCAAAGAAAAGATTTCTTTCAGTTCAGTGTATATCCTGAAATCAGGAAACATCAGTCCCAGCTGGAAAGAGGTCTCTAACAGCTAAACCAAGTAGTCTGCACTACCCTGGTGCCTAACTCAGCACTGTCTCCCCACATCTCCTCCTTTAGCCAGTTTATTTTATGCAGTTTATATCAGTCAGTCTCCTTCGTTGCTATGTAGTGCATGAATGGTTGTCAGAGTCTCCCACTTTACCCCAAACGGAAACACTTGCACAATAGCTGTATCCTACACCAACCCACTGCTGCTCATCGTCTCACCTCCACCCCAAAGAGGAAGCCAGACACGGGATGCCTATTGAGAAGTCTGGCCTTGTTCTGTGGAAGCAGAAATACACCCCCAGTCTCTATATTCTCTCCAATTGTTTCCTGTAGCTGGAGGTTCAACTTCCCTATTACATACACAACACTTCACTGAAGTGTTCTGCTTGATGTGTTTTATGTCCCATTAATATTTTCACAGCACATCTCATGCCTCTCTTAGGGGCATGGGAGAATGTGTCTGGTGCAAGGCTTTTGAGAAGGATCCCCCCACCACACACATATTAAAAAGCAGGAGGAGGAAAAGATGGACTAATAAAGAGCTCTCCCTCTCTCCTCCCAGGAGGTCTGGACTCCTGGAGTTCGCTCCTGCTCTGGAAACTTACTTCACATCCCTGGGCTCAGCTGTCAACCTCCCCTGGCTGGCTGTCCCCTTCTTGTCCTGGTCTCCACGGTGCTGCTACATGACTGCTTTCTCACTATTACTGGGGGCGGTATTGATGGGTTCTCCCTGTCTAACCTTTCTTCAGTTCATTATTTATGGGATGAAACTTGAGGCAAGGCAGATATTAATTAGCTCTAATTGTGGATGAGCCAAATCAATCACTCCCCCACAGCCCCCAAACACCAACACAACAGCCATGATGATTTTGTTCTTGTTTCCATCAAGTAGGAGAAACCAGAATTGCACATTTACACATACAGATTATTCACAGCAATAAAGACAAATGAATCAAGTCTATACAAGCTCCCAAGTGGGGGAATTTCAAAGGGAGGAGACGGAGACCTAGAACAGGTGGAGCCTGCTTCCATGGTAACAATGGGCACTGGTAGTTTCTCTACAAGAATCTCTTCCTGGTCACCCCCCCCCACCCCCCAGAGTTAGCAGGTGTACCAAAACTCACATTCAAGATCCAGAATCTGGTCACAAATAGAAAGCATTTCCATGGAGAGAGAGGTGGCAAAGGATCTCTTGGCCCTCTGGGTTCCCAACACCTACAGTGTGAATATTCATGAAGTGTCCCTAGTGAACCCCAAAGGACTGGAGAACAGAATTCAGAGCTCAAACCTCAGGGCTACGGTCCCTTGATGGAGGGTCTGCCTGGCCTGTTTCCTTGGGTTTTGGAGCATGGTGGAAGTAGGCAAAAAGGCAACTGAAATATCCAAGGAGAAGTGGGTACCAGCAAAGGTAGTCTCCAAGCATCTTCTTAATGCTTATTTTCAGTACCAACTGCAGCCACTTGAAGACATGGCTGCTGGCAGTGGCCCAAACGAATAGCCCCCCTAGGATAAGTTTGAGTAGTGAGAGGTAACAAGGCTAGGAAAACAAAGAACCCAGATGCCCAGATGCATGAACAGCTTCCCTTTATGAGGAGGAGATGACGGTAGTGACCCCAACTGAGGGCAAGCAGAGTTGGCCCTGTGTATGGCTGAGGTTCTATGGGACTCTTCCCAAATGACCCCCTCTTGCAAGCCCCAACTCCACTAATAAGCCATTGACCTTGAGTTTGAGTCTGGACTTGATTTGCTGCTCTGTCTGGGGAACCCCAGGGGCCTTGTGTCTTAACGGGAAGAAATCCTCCTCATTTCAGCCACAATTGTTTTTCCTCTCCTCCTGCCACAGTGATCCAATTAGCAGACTACTTTTCCTCTGAGAAAATGTGTCCCAGGTCCCAGGAGGCACTGCCCATTTGCCTGTCTGATGGGTTTGGGAAGAGAAAGCAGAGACATGTGTGTGTATAGGGGGGGCTTCCCTTCCCCTGTCTCCCAGAGTGTAGAGTCTCTCCTACCCAGGCGGGCCACCCAGCCCGCTTTGCTTGGAGCACCACAGGGAGGGCAGGTGCTGCACTCTTAGCTGCAGGAAGCCTGGCAGGTGGCTGCGTACACACTGCTGCCCACGGTGCCCCCGCTGCTCAGGCTGTGGGTGGGACATTTAAGGGGCTTCATGCTGCTGTCTCTCTGGATGTGCAAGTGCTCCAGCCTCCAGCGCTCCCAGCTCTTCTGAAACTCCATCTGGACCTTCCGTGGGAAAAGGAGGGAAGCAAAAACCATCATGCAAACCAACTGCCCACAAAATGGCCCCATTATTACATTAGTGGGGAAAGGAAAAAAAATCCACTACATTATATTAAGAGACACAAGTCAAGGCCTCCAGGCGCCTAAATTAATATCCCAATAAAACTGTTTATTGTTGTCTCCTATTTTCTGCTTCTCCTTAGAGAGAGAGATGGGCTTCATGACCTCATTGGTCTTTTCCATCTCTAAATGCTGTGATTCAGCTAAGTACCTTTTACAATCCATCATAGTATGATTTAACGGAAGAGAAAGAACGAGGAGTGGAGAGATGCAGGGAGACGGAGATGGAGGGAGAAGAGAAGGGGAAGACAGAAGCGGATTTGAGAAAGCCCTCTTCTGATTGGAGCTTCAGGGTGTCTATCCCAGACCCTCCTAGTTCTCCTTCTCCAGGACTTTCATCCAGGCTCCTCATGGGGGTGGGGAGGAAGCAGTGAAGGAAGGAAGGACTGGAAGGGCTACAATCCGGGACTTCTGAGCCTAGATCCAAACTGAGTCCACCATGGGGGTTTGCAGCCCAGGAGAGTCCAGGCGAGCCCAGGTGAGCTCAGTCTCCTTGAATCCCTGCTGGGTTGGGCTGGGCTCAGACCTGGCCCACCAGGAAGGGCCTTCTCAGGATGCCTGGGAACCAGGTTGTTGGGGCAGACAGATACAAGCCCAAGAAACACGGTAGATCCTGTCACTTGAGAGGCTGTGACAGTGCTGGGGCTCCCTGTGATGACCAGAGACTCTTATACACTGACGGTGTTACTGCCTCCTGCATGTCACATTCTGGGTGAGGCTCCCATAGGTTTGCTCCCTGTTCTCCCGATTCCCCAGACCTTCCCCTCACTGAAATGTCAGACTTGAATTCTCCCTTTCAGGTTTCCAGCAGCTGTGGGTAAGTGGCTCTCTGCCAATCCCCCCACCCCCCCAGCAGCCTCAGTGCAAAACCTCTGCTCTCCTCCTCCTCCAAAGGTTGTCATCCATCTTGCCGAACCCAGCAAAGACGCCTGATGTAGCTGCATGCCATCCCTTAAAAGAACTTTTCCTGAGCTGCCTGCCAAGACGGCCCCAGTGTTCTGGGGCAGCGTCACTGAGCTCAGGCTTTGATGGGGGGAGGGAGACTGAACAGAAACCACCTATGGCCACTGTGCTCTGTGCTAGCTCACTGTCCTACTGAACAAGTTTGCATGGGTACTGACAGTTGGAAAGGAACCCTGGGACTGGGGGTGGCCTCTGCTTGTGCAGCCAATCTTGTCTCAGTCCTCCAACTGTGAGGCCTCTCAGTGACTAAAGAGATCTCTGGGATACCAGTAGGAATTAGACAAAACCAGGATTTCTCAGTGCGGATCCATCATGTCTCCTATCTCACCTCCCAGAGCAATTTTTATGAACCTCTGTGGTGGCACCTATAATGACAACGATCATTAACTGTTGTTAGGTACTGTTAAGTTGGTTCCAATTCATAGCACCCCTATGCACAACAGAATGAAACACTGCCCAGTCCTGTGCATCCCCAAGGTTATTATGCTTGAGCCCATTGCTACTGCCACTGTATCAATCAATCTTCTTGAGTCATCTACTTTTTCATTGACCTTCCACTTTACCAAGCATGACCCGAGAACTGAGCCCTCCTGATAACATGTCCAAAATATGAAAGACAAAGTCTCTCCATCTTTACTTTAAGGAGCATTCTGATGGCATTTCTTCCAAGACAAGATTTGTTTGTTCTTCTGGCTGTCTAAGGTACTTTCAATATACTTCTCCAACACCATAATTCAGATGCATCAATTCTTCTCCAGTCATCTTTAATCATTGTCCAACTTTCACATGCATATGAGGTGACTGAAAGTACCAGGGTTTGGATCAGGCGCACCTTAGTCCTCAAACTGACATCTTTGCTCTTGAACACTTTAAGGTGGTCTTGAGCAACAGATTTGCTTATGCAATAAAGATTTCTTGACTGCTGCTTCTAAGAGTGTATCTTTCCACCATACTTATTGAATCTGCATGCTGAGCATATAATATAAGAAGCTGGATTCTATGAAGAAGAATGTGGCATCAGGATTCAGGAAGACTCATTAACAACCTGTTGCTTGTTGGGAGTAAAGAAGATTTGAAATACCAATAAAGATCAAAGACCACAGTCTTCAATATGGATTGTACTTCGATGTAAAGAAAAAAAATCCTCACCACTGGACCAATAAATAACATCATGATAAATGGAGAAGCTATCAAAATTGAAGTTATCAAAACACTTTGTTTTGCTTGGATCCATCATCAACACTCATGAAAGTAGCAGTCAAGAAATCAAACCATGTATTTTGCATTAAGCAAATCTGCTGCACAAGACCACGTTAAAGTGTTCAAAAGCAAAGATGTCGGTTTGAGGACTAAGGTGCACCTGACCCAAGCCATGGTATTTTCAATAGCCTCATATGCATGTGAAAATTGGGCACTAAATAAGACCAGAGAAGAATCGGTGCATTTGAATTATGGTGTTGGAGAAGAATATTAAAAGTACCATGGGCTGCAACAAGATCAAACAAATCTGTCTTGAAAGAAGTGCAGCCAGATTGTTCCTTAGACGCCAAGATGGTGATATATTACCAGGAGGGGTCAGTCCCTGGAAAGGGATATCATGTTTGGTAAAGTTGACGGTCAACGAAAAGAGGAATACCCCCCAATGAGCTGGACTGACACAGTAGTAGCAGCAATGAGCCGAAATATAACAATTGTGAGGATAGAATGTGGGCATTGCTGCATTCTGTTATGCATGGGGTCACTATGAGTAGGAACCAACTGACCGGCACCTAACAAAATTTATTGAGTACTTACTACGTGCCAAGCATTTCCATAGATGATCTTAATTAACATTCACATCAACACTATGAAATAGCTCCTGTTATTATTATCCACTTAATGTTGTGGAAATTGAGGTGCAGAGTATTTAAATATTTGTCTAGTTCTCTCATTGTATATCGGGGGCCGTGGTGGTTCAGTGAAAGAATTCTCACCTTCCATGTGGGAGACCTGGGTTTGATTCCTGGGTAATACACCTCATGCTGAGACACCACCCTCACCTTCCATGTGGGAGACCTGGGTTTGATTCCTGGGTAATACACCACCCACCGGTCAGTGGAAGCTTGTGCATTGCTATGCTGCTGAACAGGTTCCAGGGGAGCTTTCAGACAAGTCCAGACTAGAAAGCAAGGCCAACGAACACCCTACGGATAACAATGGTTCCATCTGCAACTGATCACTGGGATCCGTTCAGTTCCATTTTGCACAGTATCACCATGAGCTGGCAAGCAAACAACTCTGTGTATGCAGTGGAGCAGCACAATTTGAACCCAGGTCCAGCCTGACCCCAGAGTCAATCTCCTAAAGACTAGCCACCTGTCTGCCAATGACTCAGCTGCTCATGCTTGTTCCTGCTCGTTCCCTTACTCAACAGGGAGCACCTGGAGGGCTGGACCCAGGTTCCCTTACTCAACAGGGAGCACCTGGAGGGC